GTGAGAAGCAGCAGAAGTGATTCCAGTTTCCAAGTGCCAAACGGAGGGGTGCCTCGGATGCAGCCTCAGGCCTCAGCCAGTGAGTACCTCCTTCCCTCTGAAATGGAAGTCAGAGAACCGACCGCATTCTGTGCTGGGTGGCGGTTAAGCCATTGCTGCAGTATATTCTGTATGGCCAGCAAGGTGGCTCAGCCGGTAAAGGCACTTGTTGGCAAGCTGGCAACCTGAGTTCACTACCTGGAGCTCACGTAGTAGAAAAGGAAAAGTGGAATCTAACCTCGACGCCTGCACCTTGGTGGATGCAGCACTTCCTCCTGCCTGCCAGGGACTAAATACAGATTTTTAAATAAAGAATAGAGTAAAACTAAAGAGATAATATTGTAATAAAATGTAAAAATTGTCTCTGTAAAATATTTAATTCTAACCAGTTTTTTATAATTACGTGACACTCTCTGTGGTTTCTACTTCTGATCACCAAAGATCATCTTTGTTTTGTTTTTTTCTGGTTTTTAGTTTTGAAACAGGATCTCTCTGTATAGCCCTGGCTGTCCTGGAACTCACAATGTAGACCAGGCTAGCCTTGAATTCACAGCGATCCTCTTGTCTCTGTCCCCCACATGTGGGATTAAAGGTGTGGGCCACCACTCTCAGTTAAGATCATCGTTTTCAGTAGATGATACTGGATAATTTAAGGCTCCTAAGGAATGCATGTGTTACCATAGAAATGCCTGTGTTTATTTAACATAATTCTTGTCACAAAGTAAAAAGTCAAGCATTTATTACAAATAGATTGAATAAAAATTTTTAACGTCTGTCTTTAAAGAGGATAAGCTTTGCTTTTTTTCTAGAAGTAAGCAGTCGCTATCCATGTATGTATCTTATAAAATAGATTTTCTTTGAAAATCTCCCTAAAATTTAGACTTTCTAGAGCTGGAGGAATAGCTCAGTGATAGTACATGGTGATCATGTATGAGACCCTGGATTTTATCCCCAGTGCCACAGAAGTGAAACGTTAAAGTTTATGATTACATAATAGACTTTTTAGGCCATATCATAATAAAAGTAATTAGTTTTCCAATAATACAGTCTATTAAATCTATAACAACACTGAACTTGTGAACTTCTTTGCAAAATGGAAGTATTTTATAGGGATTTGTATAGTCTCACTTAACACCTGCATCTGTTCATATAAAATTTTTAGTTTTCATTTGGTTAATCTCTGTCTGCCAAGGATGTATTTGTAAATAGTATAATATTTAATCAGTGTAGATGTCAGATTAATCCACATTTCTAATTTGACCTGTAATATAGGTTAAAATTTGAGGTAATAAGTTACCAAAACTATCGTTTTTGTTTTTTTTTTTAAGAATTAATCAACATTTCTTTATTTAAATTATTTGGGGAATTAACTATTGAGTTAAATCTGAACTCAAATAGAATAAATGAATTTGAGGCCTGGCCTGGTAGTTTATGCCTTTAACCCCAACACTCAGGAGGCAGAGTAGGCATATCTCTGAGTTCAAAGCCAGCCTGGTCTACAGAGTGAGACCCAGCTGCATGCTGACTGTAAATTTATTTTTGGTGGCCAGTCACCAAAATACTAACCCAGGAATGTGATAGGTCTTTCTTCCTAGAGGTAATTTTTTTTAATCTTTAGTTGTAATATTTGCCTTTATTTTGTGACAAGAAGTATTGTGACAAGGCATTTCTACTCTAGCATGACATAGATTCTTTAAAAGCTTTAAATTGTTCAGTATTGTACATTAAAAATAATGAGATTGGGGGGGGGGTAGAATAGCACTAGAACCTTAAACTTAAAACCACAGCAGCTTTTTTAGAGAGCATTAACAAAAGCAGCAATGAGCCTTCAGAAGTACCCAGTAAAACCATGTGAGTTCTTAACCAAGAAAATGAATACTCCAGCAAATATCAGACACTCAAACAAGAGTGTTGAGGATAGTTTAATGGAAAGAAAGGAGTGAGATTGATAAGTGTTACAGAGACACATGCAGCATAAACAAAGACCAAACCAGGACACAATGATAACTTCTGAGTCACGTTGGTCGAACAGAGCCCAAGTCAGTGATGCATGAATGGCTGCACATTAGCAGCAGTGTATTAGTAACACCTGTGCATTGCATACAGGCTTACTAAAATAGGGCTGTGGTTTGAAACATTTGCTGCTTACCAACTAAGGTGGGCATGTGTATACATAATTCAACCAATCAAGGGGTCTGGAAAGTGGCTTTTCACTTAAGAGGACTGGGTACACCTTCCAGAGGACCTCAGTTAAATTCCCAGCTTCCACCTGACTGCTCATGACCATCTGTAACTCCAGTTTCAGGGCATCCAATGCTCACTTCCAGCCTCCTTGAGCACCAGATACACACATGGTACACAGATAGTCATGCAAGCAAAACACCCATACATTAAAAAAAAAAATTAAGTTAAAGAAAACCAATAAGCCAATCTAAAATGAACTGTTGGAATTACTTCTATATAATATATAGGTAACTTACCTATGGTTATACATCTTAATAAGTGGCAGGTTAATGTTCATACTGTGTTGATCCAGCTCAAGAATATGTAGTCCCCTATAGGGACTTAGCCATGGTTGTTTCCAAGGTATAAAGATCATACAGAAATACTTTTTTTTTTTTTGAGTTTGAGACTACAGTTTAAAGCACTGTGGAAAATTGTTACTCAAGATTTTTTAAGTGTTAAAATACTCATTGTGGTATTAATAATTGGTATAGGAAACATGAATTCATAAAACTTTAAAAATGAATTTAAAAGGAGAGTTTGAACTTTGTTATCTTTGAAATAGAGAATAGTAGGTTTTATGTCTTTAAACCCACAAGTTAATTTGACATGTGAAAATATCTTGTTTCTGGGGGCTTCCCTCTCAGATACTTACCCAATACAAAAAAAAAAAAAACAAAAAAAAAAACAGCCTACAGTGTTAACGTGGCATGAAATACAGTCTAAGGGAATCATAATCCTCACAGGCATTACAGCCGTGCTTCTACAGCATCTCTGCAGGGTTGAAACATTGGTACTTCACCTTCAAGCATGCTATTGTGCTTAGTTTGAATTATTAAGATCTGGATTTTTTCAAAATTCCACATGATAAATCTCCAAACAGCCTCCTGTGTGATAAAACCAGCTCTGCCTAAATCCTCTGTGCTCATCCCATTACATAGAGCTTTATGACAATGAACAGATAGATTGGGAGCCTAGGACTAAAATAATATATCTATTAACAGATGTCATTAAAAAACATATATTAGCCGGGCGTTGGTGGCGCACGCCTTTAATCCCAGCACTCGGGAGGCAGAGCCAGGCGGATCTCTGTGAGTTCGAGGCCAGCCTGGGCTACCAAGTGAGCTCCAGGAAAAGGCGCAAAGCTACACAGAGAAACCCTGTCTCGAAAAACCAAAAAAAAAAAAAAAAAAAAAAAAAACATATATTAAAGTTTTTTATAATTACCTGATGTCTCTAGCAATAGAATTGCCATTATATAGTCACATTAATATCCTAGAATTATTTTTCATTTCTTCCTAGTAGTTGGTAACTAAGGAAAAGGTATTGGGAAAACATAATGGTTTTCCCATTATTAGTTCATTATGTGGAAAATATATGTGCAATTTTACAAAGTTGCATTTCAGCATTTGATAGAAATTATATAGGCAGAAAGAATTGGATCATCATCCTTTTTAAAACTGTATATTCTGGCCAGGCAATCAATGGTGGTGCACACCTTTAATCCCAGCACTTGGGAGGCAGAGGCAGGTGGATCTCTGAGTTCGAGGCCAGCCTGGTCTATAGAGCTAGTTCCAGGACATCCAGGGCTACCCAGAGAAACTCTTGTCTTGAAAAACAAAAACAAAGCAAAACAAAACAAAACAAAAAAACTATATATACTTGTTTACTTACATTTGCAGCTACAGTAACACTTACTTACAATTAAAAATGTCCACAAAAGCACTACACAATGTATTTGGAAAATAGAAAATCCAAAATATTAACAAGCTTAAAACTTAATTTTAAGTATACTGTATAAAAATTTAGATTTGTGTTTGAAGTTAATAATCATAAATTTTTAATATCTATTTTCTTGAAGTTTTATATATTTTTGATAAAATACATGTATAATTGTGATTTTTATATATAGTAATGTAATATAGTTTTCATATTTTAATTTCAGTAAAAACTTTAATATCAAAGTCTATGTAAAAGTATAATAACAATCTTATGTATTTTATGTAAGGAACTGGTACATTTCACTGTAAACTTCAGTTACTAGTGTTTGAATAGCTATTTCACTCTGTTTGAAGTGGTTCTTTCTTCAGCTGGGAATGGTAAAGCTTTGGCTCTCACGTGCTGCTCTGCATGACGCTGACCTTGCAGGGCTGCTGATCTCTGCCCACTGGGCCACTTCTTTCGCCTTGTCACTGTGCCAGGCACGACTTTTATATGCTTCTTTGCTGTGGCTGTGTTATTGGGGATGCTGGCATTCAAATATGGGTATTATGACAATGCTAATATATTTTCAACTTTTATATTTGTAAAATGTGAGTAACTTAAAAAGTTTAAGAAAACCAGAGCATTTTCTCAGTTTCTTCAATTAAAGGGAGAGGCGTTATCAGAGGCAGGATTTTTCAAAAGGACAATAACTTGCTTCCTAGCATTGCCAGAGTATGAGCTTAAGTTTGGTATTCAGAAAAATATAGGAATTACTGGCTTATAAGTGAGGAAAAGGAATAGATGAAAACCTCAAGACAATCTTTTATATATATATCCAAAGTTTGATTACTATTATAATGCCTAAGGTATTTTTACTGTATTATAGCATTTGAGTTTCACAAATACACATTAATTTCTGTAGAGAGCAGGGTTCCCTGTAGTCAAGTTAATTACACAGGACCTCATATCTACAGGGTGACAGGTATTCCCAAACTGTTCAGTCCCCCCAACACCTCCCACTGCCGTCTGGAGACTGGGCCCAGCCTAACATGCATGCTTAGGCCTCTAGGAAACATTCTTGGGTGGCTCTTGTGGGGCATGATTTGAGACTGAACTGTAGGTGATTCGCCCAGTACAGGATCAGTTTTACACGGATACAGAGTGTGCCCCCGAGGAAGTATGTAGGAACAAGACTGTGCTCTGTTCCACTCACCCACGGAAGTGTCTGGGTGGCTGATAACCTGTATGTAGCTGGCCTTCTAAGGTCAACAAGGAAGGACTTTCCTCAAGGTTTTACCTGCTACCAAAGCACTAATGGTTATTCTCCAGTTTTGCATTATTTTGAAACATGAGTTAAAACATGCAATACTTACATAATTGGCTAATCTAATAGTAGGAAAATATTTAAGGACTATCGGTTTAAAAAGTAATACTGGATCAGTTGTATTAATCAAAAAGATTTTATAAATGTGGTGATTTGAGGCCTTTATCACTGGGCATTTTGATTGACTACATCTTAATGGGGGCCCAGACTCTCTTTGTAAGTGTCTCCATTGATTTTCAGGCATATGCAAGTTAAAGAACCACTTATTTTCTCCACAGCTTTGTAAAACTTTGACTAAAAAAAACTAATTTATTTAAGAGAATAAGTACTATAAATTAAATCTCTACATTTTGTACCATTATCAATCACTGTAATTATTCAGTAGAAATGATTGAGTACATGTTATGGTCCTAGCACTGAGGATCTATGTGTAAGTTAGCCTGTACTGCCCCAGAGCTGCCATGGAAGCAGAGGAGAGACATCAGACTCCACATGGAGGCCTGATGACCTGAGTTCACCAACACTGGGATCCACGCCGGGGGAAGAGAGAAATAACTCCTGCTAGTTGTCCTCTGACATACGTATGCCAGGTCATGCCATCTGTGGTCGTGTACATACACAATTAAGTTTTTAATTTTAAAAATGAGATTGAAAAACAATGCCTTATAGTTTGCCCAGTAACCTGTTTGCTTTTTCTGTTGTGGTCCTTTACAATTGAGCCTTCTTCTGTTCTCTGACCACTTGGCGTGCCCAGTCTCAGCATTCTCTATTGCTTCCTCCTCCTCTGGAGTGCCTTCTCCAGATCCCACGTGGTTCCTCCCACTCTTCTGTGATCTGTGAACAGATGTCCTCTTTGGAGAGTCTTTGTGGATACCTATGTCCAGCTGCAATTCCAGTCTCCTCCTCATGCTCCTTTCCCGCTCACTTCCTGCCTCGAAGCCATCACTGTCTGGAAGGCTATAGATTTTGCTACTCTCTTTTCATTCTCCCCTTTCCTAAATGTTCATAAAACTGTTTTTTCTTCCCTAAGTAATTCCATAAGAACAAGAAAAATTCCTAGCTGGCTACTGAGGCTGTTTTACCCTACAGGGTACCCAGAGTACTCACTCCCATGTTTGAATAAATGAAAATAAAGATGGATGGATGGGTGGGTGGGTGGGTGGGTGGACAGATGGACGGACGGACAGACGGACAAATATGGATGACAGAGAACATGTGGACAAATATATAGGTGAATAATATTTGATAATATTCTATAATTTTGTGGTTATAGGTATAAAGTAACAGATTTTTCCCCTAAGTCTGGAGAAGTTTTTGCTTATTTGCTTGACTGTGTTTGAGTTACATTGAGTTACACTATGTCGCTATAGTAAGGTTTGGATTGCTGTAAAATTAGAAGTCAGCTACATTTCCTTTTGTAGAAGTTGGTTATCTCAGGAAAATAATAATGCCTGGGCAGAGATAGCAGAATTTCCCCTTTTCTCTCTAATGATACATCCAGTATCCCTTTACCACCTGATGATCTTTTTTTTTTTTTTTTTTTTTTTTTTTGGTGAGCTAGAGATGAGTGATGCAGTAGTCTTTTTCCAAGGGACAGTTGTGAGCTGCCTTGTGGGTGCTGGGAAATGAACCCAGGTCTAATAGAAGAGCAGCCAAGGCTCCCAACCACTGAACCATCTCTCCAGCCCCCTGATGATCTTTTTTATGATGATCTTTTATTCCTACATAGACTTGTAGGGATAGAATTTGGCGTTTTTGTTACTTGTTTTTATTTTTTGGACATAATTCCTAAAGTGTAGAAAGTCTACCTTTCTACACATCCTGCAAGACCGGTGGGATGGCAATGATTGAATGGGCCTGGAGTAGAGGGACTGTAGCGCAGTAGTTGGCCATCTGCACTCTGTGCAGCTCTGGGCTGTCCTCCGTGCCGGTTTTGGAAGTTTCAGTGTCGGAAATAGGGAGTTTGAGAGGGACTTCAGCAGTCTGACTTGATTACATTACAAAGCAGATGTCCTAACTCCTCTAGACCCCCTCAACACACACACACACACACACACACACACACACACACACACACACACACACACACACACACACGTTCATAGACCAGACTTGCTATTGTCCAGCCTGAGGTACACATTAGTTGGATTTTACAGCAAGATAACATTGAACACATTAAAGCTGCCAAGTTGTACAAGGACTTGCCTGGTTCTGAGTTTTCTTCTCCTTTTTGAGAATGGAAATTACTGTTTGATTTTGGAGCAATTCATCTACCAATAATTGCTTTGCCAAAATGTGCTTTTTTCTTTTTTTGCATCAAAACAAGTACAGTGTTTATTTTCTATTTTGAGTGCTTATGTTTATCACTTTTATCCTTGTGTTTATATTCTTTTGCATCTATGGCATGTTAGCTGGTGGCTTGTTTTCTCTTTGATGTTCCAGCCAATTGACATATTAGTTTTTTTTTTTTAATCTACAAAAAAAAAAAAAAAAACTAGTTCTAAAAATATGCAATGGCACTAAGATTTCTGCCCCTTTTCTTTCCCAACTTAATGCATGAAGCATCACTTAAAAATTCCTGCGCTTCTAGAATTCTAACATTTTACCTCACTGGTTTCTATTCCTTGATAACTTTTACATTTCTATTAAGTGTTCAAGTTTACAGAAGCTGTAGCCTTTACCTTGTACTTCCCGGCCAATATTACACTTCCTTGTTTTTCAACAGCTTCTCAAAGGCTGAAAAATTTGCCTCGTACTTCCCTCAAAGCCAAACAGTTGCTTCCAACTTCATCTACCAAAAGAGGTAACTACAGCCTCTGCGTGAGTTCAGATTTCAGCAAGTGGTATAGGTAAATCTCTCACCTTCTGCGTTTCTGAGTCAGTGATGCCTGTGGGGCACATTTCAAACTGGTTTTTGTCCTTAAGAAAATAATGCAAATTAATTCCCTGCTGTGTGGATAATTGCAGAAGAAACCTATTTTCTTCAGAGGTATGTATTGAATTGTTCTGAAAGGATTAAATGATAATTTATCATTTTTTCCTACTCATCTAAAACCAAAGATTATTGTTTTAAATTAATGAAAATTGGACAAAATGGTACTAAAATGTCACACATTCTGTCTATTAATGTTTTTTCCTCAAATATTGGTCTTTGGGTTTACTTATCTGTGGAGTAAGGTGGGAAGACTTTCAGATTAGAAGCTGATTAAAGTTAAGACACAAGTCTTTATGGTCAGTGAATAAATTTGGAAGACTTGCTATACAGTGGTAGCTTTTGTAAGAACTGAGTGCTAAAGAAATCTATGAAAGTTGGGCACTAAGTCTAGACAATATGGGTTCCAGAAGATTGAGTGTATTGGTAGATGGAAGACCAAAGAATTGAGAGAAAACAGTGACGTAGAATAGACTTGGGAGTCCTGAGAATGAACAGATGACTCAGAATGGGACAGAACAAACAGAAGCAGTGAGGAAAAATAGCTCCCCTCATGAGAGTAAGAAAACTTGAGGAAAGAAGAAATTTTTTTTTTTTTTTAATTTAAGATGCAGTTAGTATGATTGCAAAACACTATATACTTTTAAACAGGTTTAAGTGTGTTAGCAGTGATTTAGTGTGTGATTGTAAATAATTCGTTTTCAAAGTTAGAATCTGTAGGAAAAAGAATAGCCAACTAGTAGCATAGGGTCCATGCTTATGTATTAAGCACTAGGTACTCACATGCACCTGCCTTGGTTCCATAGTCAGGAATAACATACTGTGTAGGGCTTATTCTTTTTTTTTTTTTTTTTTTTTGTGATATATATTTTTTATTTTACAATACCATTCAGTTCTACATATCAGCCATGGGTTCCCCTATTCTCCCCCCTCCCACGCCCTCCCCTTACCCCCAACCCACCCTCCATTCCCACCTCCTCCAGGACAAGTCCTCCCCCGAGGACTGTGATCGACTTGGTAGACTCAGTCCAGGGAGGTCCAGTCCCTTCCTCCCAGACTGAGCCAAGTGTCCCTGCATAAGTTCCTGGTTTCAAACAGCCAACTCATGGAATGAGCACAGGACTTGGTCCCACTGCCTAGATGCCTCCCAAACTGATCAAGCCAATCAACTGTCTCACCTATTCAGAGGGCCTGATCCAGCTGGGAGCTCCTCAGTCTTTGGTTCATAGTTCATGTGTTTCCATTCATTTGGCTATTTTTTTTCAATAATTGAGTAAAACTGAAATTTATTATATGCCACAGTCGTCCTAGGGACCTCCATGCTATATATATAGCCTCTATGGTTCTATGGGTTGTGGTCTGATTGTTCATTTTATATCTAGAATCCACCAATGAGTGAGTACATACCATAACTGTCTTTCTGGGTTTGGGTTACCTCACTCAGGATGATTTTTTCTAGTTCCATCCATTTGGTAGGGCTTATTCTTTAGCGTGAGAGGAGGTGACTTGGGACTTTATAGGAATAAGTTGTTCTCTTAGTAGTAAGTAGTAAGATGTGATAGATATACTGTATACTTCTAAAATCTAGGAGTTGAATCCTCTTACTACACACAGTAAATGTCTGCAGCGATGGGTATGCCAGCTCCCCTGATTTCATCATTGCACAATGTCTATATACATGAATGAAAACATTGCTTTTGCCCCATAAACATGTATACTTTTTTTTGAGACTGTTTCTTCTCTATGTAGTTCTAACTGTGGAACTCACTATTTGGACCAGGCTGACCTGAAACTCAGAGATCCACCTGTCTGTGCCTCCTGAGTGCTAGGATTAAAGGCATGTGACACCATGCATGGCTCTACCTTACTTTTAAAAAGAAAAAAGAAATACCTTATGGAATTGTTTGAGAACAGTGGGCTTCTTTTCCAGATTTTTAAAGCATTCTAGCTTCCTCTGGATAGTAGGGAAGGTATAAACAGATGAACTGGCTAGGGTTGTTCAGTGCTAGGGAGCTTGCTCACATGAGTCATTGAGGCTCTGGGTTTGAGTCTCAGCACTGGAGAAAATAAAATAAAAGCAAATTAATTTCAACAGAGTAGTGGGAAGAAGTATGTGACAACAAGTTGTATTGTCCAGCAGAGCAGGAGGCCACTAGCCTGTAATAAAAGAACAGCTGTTGCTTACTTCAGTCTTGTCTAGTACATTGTTTTTACTTCTGAATCAGGTAGCTTTGTGTGATTTTACATTTTTATGTAAAGATGTTTGATCTTGTGGTTTTTATATTAAAAGACCATATCTTTTGACCAAATTTCTAAAGGGGTTACATTATTTTTGTGAATCTGAGCTCTCAAACTTCAAACTACCTACTCTTACTTAGTAATCCAGGCTTTCATGTGTTGTGGTGTAGGGGTTATCATTACACCCTTCTCTGCTTAGCTGCCTGTGGTGTTGCATATCTGTACCCCAATACTTGGAAGGTGGAAGCAGAAGGATGTGGGTTCAAGGCCAACCTGAATATATAGTGAGATCCTTTCTCAAAAACCAAGGGCTGGGGATATAGCTCAGTGGTAAAGCACATGCCTAGCATGCTCAAGGTTGTGTGTTCGGTCCCTAACACTGTAAAATGCAGTACTGGTTCAATTGCTGGTGATCGTGAATTTGAGAATACCTCTAGGATCTGAGGCCAGAGCCCACTGCACCAAGAATAGCCCCTTTTCTCTAAGTGCTTAGCATCCAGTAATAAAACTACTGTTGTCCTTTTCTCATGACTTCATTCAGATTGAAGTTGGCACCTGGTATCATTTCCTTTCTACCTAAAGGGTGCTTTCTGACACTTTTTTGAGTGGAAAAACTAACGACTAAGTCTTTCCATTTTTATGATTGCTGTTACTTTGGTCTGGGGACTTGTTTCATTTCTGCTGTGTATACTCAGCCCATTGTTTAGCTGAAGATTCAAGCAGACCCCTAAGCTGAGTTCTGAAGGTCTTTGAAGAAGCTCTCTGAAGCACTATCTTACAGATTTCTGTTTTTATCTTCTCTGCTCATGAGTTTGATCTGCCTGAGATACCCTATCTAATCTGTAGTTCAGAGAGTGTGTTCAGAACAACAGCAAAAAACTATCAGGCTTCAGTACTGCCGCCTCTCATATCAGACTCTTAGATCCAACAGTCCAAGCCTCCTTCTTGCAGAAATCACTGCACTCAATGGCTAAGTACTTTTTAAATGGTTCCTGAACCTGTCTGGCCTTCCAGGAGTCTGGCAGCAGGCTGATCATCCTCTCAGCCCTACTTGAGCTCTCTTTCGGGCTGGCTTCTCTGGTTCTTGTCCTACAGCTTCCACTCAGTCTTGGCTGGGAGGGAATGGCAGAGGAGAGCAGCTCACATTGTGGAGCCAGAAGCAGAGAGTGCTTCTGTTAGCTAGCTTCCTCCTTCTCCTTTTGTCACATTCCGCGTGTCCCCATTCCTGTGTCCCGCCTCCACCCCCATGAGTGTGTGCCACCCACAATCAGAGTGGTGTCTCTGCCTTGTTTGATCTTCCCTGAAACATCCTCACAAACTCACCTAGAAGTCTGCTTCCCTAACCCTAAGCACTTGTCGGTCCAGTCAGTCCGAATTAGCCACACATCCTTCCTTTCCTCCTTTGTGCAGTAGACCTTTCTGTCACTTCTCTCCTACACGTGGATTGACAGAGTGAGAAAACAGAATGTGTGGAATAACCTGCTTCTGTGGCCCAAGCTTTCTCTCCGTTTGTACCCTCCTGAAAAAGGGGTTTGTTGGAGAAAAGTGTTATCCTTCTGCCTCTGGTCCACACACTTCCTGCTCCCTGCCTTATCCCTAAGGCTCTGTGTTTGATAAAGCATGTTAAGGTTTGTATTTGAATTATGTGTTGTGTCCATGGCCATCGGAGGAAACTAAAACCCTTTCTGAGGAGATGTGTTCAAACATGAAGAAGTAGAGAAGGGTGGCTGTGTATCCCAAGAAATCTAAACTTAGTCTCAAAGGGACCTGTTGAAATAATAAAATGTTTTTGAGTCTTTTCTTAACTTAGAAATGAATGAAGGCTACATTTCATTTCATGTATCTGGCATTTGTTTTAATATAATAGCATTTTTCTTATTGGACTTGGCATTATATGACTTCCTAGGCTCATATGCTCCTGGATTGCACACACATGTGTACTGGGACAACTTTCAGGAATTATTTCTCTCCTTCTGCCGTGGGTTCCAGGGATTCAGTTCCAGTTGTCATATGTGTGTGGCAAGCACTATTGCCCACTAAATCATCTCAGTGCCCCTGGAGCTGACTTTTAAAATAATAATAACAGTTAATTCCTTATTTCTAGTTACACTGAATATGTGTCTTTGAGGCTACAGTCACCTGATTTATGTTTACATGGACACCCAACCCTTTTACCTCTAGACTGTTCATATGGCCCTAGTTAGATGCTATGTGATGCCTACATACTTTTTAATTTTTATTTATTGTTGTGTTGCATGTGCAGGTGCACATGCAGGCAATGGTGGGGTGCATGTATGTTACATGCCACAGCATATGTGGAGGTCAGAGGACAACTCTGTCAAGTCCCACCTTTATATGTGTTCCTCAGATTGAACTTGGGTTTCTAGGTATTTGTGGCAAGTACCTTTAACCACTGAGCCATCTTGCTGGTCCCTATGGTGCCCACCCCCTTCTGTTGTGGGATCCAAGTTAAGCTGGTTAATGTACTTTTTCAAGGACAGTTGTAACTCTCTGAGGTAACCTTTTTCCTATTAGCCCAGAAAAGTCCTATATGGGAGGCTCATAATTAGATGTTCTAGTGCTCCATTGTCACGGGTAGCACGGCAGTGGCTTCACTGGTACTTGGCTCCTCTGAAAACACTGGCTTTCCTTTGCTCTTCTGTATGCAGTACCTTCTCCAGGCAAGTTCCGCTCCCCTGCAGCACCATCTCCGTTGGCTCTTCGGCAACCAGTGAAAGCATTTAGTAACCATGGTTCTGGTTCTGGTAGCCAAGAAAGTACACAGTTCACACAAACCACCTCCTCACCTGGGCCTCCCGTGGTGCAGAACCCAGTCCCAGCAAACCCTTCCAGCAATATCAACAGCGCCACTCTAACCAGACCTGCAGGGACAACTGCCATGAGGAGCGGCCTGCCCCGGCCGAGCGCCCCTTCTGCGGGGGGCATCCCAGTGCCTCGCAGCAAGCTTGCACAGCCTGTTCGCAGGTAAGTGGGAAAGGTGGTCCCCGGCACCGGGCCTATGAAAGTGAGCAGATGGCAGTCGGTATTGTCTCTAAGGAGAGCATCACCTCCTTGTTTTGAAGAAGTCTTCATTTGGATATTATACCACCATGGTTCAAAATCATTTTGTCCCAATGCCTAACATGATTAAGCATCTCATGATTAAGCATCTCATGATTGGCTCCTAGGACAGAGTTGTTAAAGACACTTGAGTTGGTTGTGAAAATTGTTCATTTTGAGAATAACAATAAAGATTTAAAAAGCACAAGGCGTTGAGAAAATGCTGGCTGCCCTAGCTGGGCAGCTACTTCTCACACTGGTACAATTCAGAATTACCTGTGGAGTTTTTATAAGTGCAGAGACCCAGATTCTACACCCCGAGATCCTGACTGAGCACCCTCACCCCCATTTTGTTGTTTAATCTTGAAATGATTCTGACCCCAGGGAGGTTGTGACCAAACCACGTGATCTTTACCCTTTAAGAAGGGGATTAGCACCACCAATAAGTTGAGATGTCAGCTATAATTAAAGTTTGTTTTCTTGAAAAGAAATGCCAATCTTGTATTTAAACTATATTCCTGTACTTGCTTTATTTTACTGTAAACATTTCACAGTTTGAGATTTCGTTGTAGAACGCATTGGCTTTGTGTTGTGCACAGCACTAAATAACTCCTTACCTTGTCTAACTGTCACAGTAAGGAGTCCTTTTATTTTTTAGATGAATATATTGAAATTAAGTAATTTTTGTGAGGACATCCAACTAGTAAGACTGTTAGTTACAAATTTGTGTGACTTCAAAACCCTTTACCCAGTACCCCACTGCCTGCCACTCTGGTGGTGGTGACACTCAGTCTGCACTGTCACAGCCAGCATTTGGCCTCACAGAACAATAGATTAGTTGTCCATGTGTTCGGAAAGAGTGAGACTTTCTTTCCTCTTGTTTTAATTCATAGCCACATTAACAAAAAGAGGTTAGAGGAATCGTCTGGAATGTAGTAAAATTTGAAAGCTGTGAAGATGCTGAGCAAGGAAAGGTTGTTCTAAGAGTTGTGTAGAGCTGTGATCTCAATAGTTCCCTGAAGTAGAAGCCATGTGGCAGAGTGTATGTAGTATTTTGTACAGACGTAAAAATTCATACAGTTCCTTGATTTCAGATCCTTGCCAGCTCCGAAGACCTATGGTAGCATGAAAGACGACGGTTGGAAAGACGGCTGTTACTGATTGGCAGAGACAAGAGCGCAGAGGTCACAGCTTCACGGACACCTTTCACCAGGCTGAAACCAACTTTTATACGCAGACTCTGCAGCTAAGACTCTCGGGGTTGTCCAGCCCCGGCCCTCTCTGTCTACAATAGCACAAACTGGCAGAGATGACGAAGCAGCACTTTATCCCACGTAACATCCGATACGTTTGGTAATCATGCAATCACTCTCCATGGAGTCACTCTTAGCTTTGTTCACTAGAAACACGGTTCATTTTTTATTGTTTGACAGAGGCGGCCACTATCTGGGCAAATACCTAATGGATGCCAAAGAGAAATGCCCATTTGTAAAGAGAGTACTTTTGTACACGGGAAGGTGGTGAATTCAGGCTGTCCAAAACCTCACGTTCAACCTACTTTACTGTACGAATAGTATCAATAAATACTGTGTTAACAAGAACTAATATTCTGACTAATTAAATTGTTTTATTAGTCCTTCAGGATAGAGTAAATTATAAAGATTGGGAGGGAGAAAGGAACGACCTGAGCTAAAGACTTAAAACATGCTACCTGTGTTTAAGAGAGTTTTATAAATTACTTTTGCAAACTCATTGGAAAAATTATCATTCTTTTAAATCATACATTTTAGACATAGTTTACACATAGCCACCGCCAGGTGGTGTCACCATGCACGCCCACCGGGTTGCATCAACATCTCAGACTTCTATGTGCTTGTTTTGATTGCCAAAAGGGCTCACTATCGGCTACACAGTCTTCTAAACCTTACACTTCCTGGCTCAGGAAAGATGGCCTTTGCTCTTGAAGCCAACTTCCTCACATGCTCTTTTCTGTCACAGAACTAAAAGATCTTGTTCCCATGACCAGGTTTCTATGATGTGGAAGAACAAGTTGTATGTGTCTTTATTCTTGATAAAACAACACCTCCGAGCTTACAAGCTGGAATGAAAGCATACTGCAAGAGGAGGGGAAATCTATGCATTTAACTACAAAGTCTCTGGTGATGACCGCTGCATTGCTGCTCTTAAGTGGTGTAACGGGCTGTTATGTGGTAGTCGGTCCACTTCAAGCTGAATAACTGTGTGATGTATCTTTAAAATACTGTCCCTTTTGACTTAGATTCTGCCTTACATCAATGTTTGCATTGTTTGGTAAAAACCATCCGACTCTTAATTTGCTAAATTACTTGCTGTCTAATGACACATGCGTGTATGTATACCCTTGAAATCAACTGTTTCGGTTTTATTGGATTATTACCAAACTAACTCAAGCTGACTTCTCATTTTTGATAATGGGGTCTGTTTTTTAAATACTTAGTCTGAACATATCTAAAATATTGGCAGTTGGGTCACATAAAGGTGGAGGGATTTGAACACGTTTCCTGTTAGTAGAGGATGTTCAGAAAGTTGGAAGTAGAAATGGAAGGAAGGAAGCATCGAGTTGATGATAACAAAGACCCAGTCTGCCAGACTGATGCTCCACCAGCAGGGAGACCTTCAGCTAGCTAGCAGGAGCAGCCGTCAGTGCCGGTGGGAGCTGGAGTGTAGAATGGAAGAACGTGTATCCTTGCATTTGAAGGTGGCGAGAGGGAATGGCGAGGTTGTCCAAAATGATGAACTAAAACTGATGCTTTTCAGAGGAAGACGAAACGTGCTTGGTGGGAAGTGTCTCGTGTAAATCTAAGTAACAAAGAAGTAGCCTCTGTCTCTGAAGAGTTTCATGGCACACAGCAAACAGGTCTCTGTTTCAGTGTAACATTTCAAAACAGAATAAATGCTGCAATCTAATAATTTAAAGAACTTTAATGAACCATCTACTACATTTTTTAAGTTAGATAATCAGTTTCAAAAGGAATATTCAGGTTATTTAACGTTGTTTTTAAATGGCTGCATCAGAAAAAATATCTATTTTTTTTTAATTAAAGTATTTCATCACTTGTTTAAAAATGTATTTTGGATCTGAGTTTGGTGATATTATTTTACCTGCTGCTGTACTACCACAGACTATTGGCTTTTAGTTTCCTAAAGAGAAAAATTGCCTTTTGACTAGAAAGCCTTTGTGTATTGCCAGTTTTTCTGTTTGGGAAAATCTAAGGATTTACTGTGGTTAGTCGTACAGAAGAAATGTGGATTTGATAAACTAGTGCTTATGATTTTAACTTGTGTTTGATATATAGTAGTAAGGGGTTATGAATGTTGATTATTTTGTGCCAACATCCCAGAATTGTCACTTATATGTCAGCAGAAAACTATGACCTCTGCTTCCAAAGTTATTTAATTTTCTCAGTGTTTGGATGTTATTTTTTGTAAGTGTGTTAATAAAAGTGTAAAGAATTGGAAAAATATAAATATTCTTAAGCCTTTGCTGGATCATTTTTCTACAAAACTTGTTTGTATATTATAAAACCCTCTGAAGAGTTGACTTCTCAGTTTTCATACCCTGGAAATCACATTTTGTAAAACTGGGGACCATTCATAATTGTCAGATACTTTTTTAAATTATCTCAGAACATCACTTTTATAAAAAAAAGTTTTTTTGAAAACAAAGAAAATTAAATACATATGGCCCCAGGTGTTTGTATAACTCTAGGATGGTCTCTAGACTATGTATGTTTAAATTGACTTTATTCATTGTACAGGTGTTCAGTTTTGACAGTATGATGCATGGTCCTTTTAGATCACATGGAGTTTGATTTGCAAACATTTCTATAGCTGAACTTGTAATATGTGGTTGCCTCCTTAATAAACAGCCTGACCATAATGTTTACTATTAAATCTATATTCATTTTCAAGTGTTTTATTAATTTCTGGATATGGCAAGATTCCTTCTCTCCTCCCCACCCCATTGCCTATAGTTTGTCTTAATAAATTTCTCAGCTGTTTTTTTGTAAACACACAGACTCCAATCTTATTGCCCTTTTAGATCCTGACTAGAAGTCTGGGGTTGTCACTAGAGTCTCGGTCTCTCTCTCTCTCTCTCTCTCCCTCCCTCCCTCCCTCCCCCCCTCCTCTCTCCCTCCCCCTCCCCTTATTTCCTATTTGAATCATTTGGAGTGGTCACAGTTTACATTGGGTTTGTTCTTGGAGCTTTTTCATCTGCTCTGAATTGCTATGTAGCTAGAAAAAGCATCTAGAGCACACAGGAGCTATTGCCTAGAAGTTCCAACAGGGAGGCTCCATGCACTTTCAAGCCACATACTGTTTGAGGTGAGCAGGTAGCTCTATGATGGATGGAACAATAGACTCGCGCTCCTTAGTGAATTCTTCCTGTTCCCTAGGAGATGCTCCAGCCTGCGTTACCATCTCTCTCACTGATGACACCAGAAAAAAGGACACCCCACATTGGAATTCTTTTCCCTGGGCAGCTGAAGCCTTAAAGAACCTCTTGAATAAATGTCAATATACTTATGCTAGTTATGAGTGAGAAGTTTATCTAAGCCATCCACGCGTGTCTCCAACAGGAAACCTCTGTGGAGGCTCTTAGGAAATATTTACTGTATTAGAGCTTATTTGGGACATAGGCAAATAGCACACATCTGCCATCCTAGTACTGAAGCAGGAGAATTGTGAGTTCAAGGCAAGGCTGGCCTATATACAGTAATGCTATCTCAAAAAAGAAAAGGCCAACCAAAAAAAAAAAAAGCCAGGCGGCAGTGGCGGACACTCTTAATCCCAGCACTCAGGAGGCAGAGCCAGGCAGATCTGTGAGTTTGAGGCCAGCCTGGTCTATAGAGCGAGATCCAGGACAAGTACCAAAACTACACAGAGAAACCGTCTCGAAAAACCAAAAAGACAAAACAAAGGCCTTCTTTGAAAAGGCCGAATAAGACAACGTAGTGGGAGGGGACTCTTGAGGTGCTGTGACTAGTCAGTCCTAAGGAGAAAGCTAGGTGGACTAAGACAGACAGACTTATGGCCATACTTACAAGTTACTCCAAACTCTGAGAACTACATACTAATTCAAACCAATTCTCGTCTGCTTAGAAAGAGTGGTCAACAGATAAATTCCAGCTAAGGGGGCCTAAGTTCTGCTGGTCGGTACACCAGAGAGAATTTCATAGTCAAAAGTAATGTACATCTCAAAATAACTAGAAGGGCTATTTTGAATATTCTCACCACAAGAAAATTATAAATGTGCTAAATATTCTATTATAAATTATATACATACATCAAAATGTACCCTAAGTCCTCAGTTTATATAATTTGTCAATTACTAACAAATGGATCACAATAAAAAGGAAAAATCATTTTTAATATTTTTGAAAGTATATATACCTGTTGCTTTAATTTAAAAAAACATAATGACAAATGATTGTCTACAGTTCTGTAATTTAGAAATTAATATTGAAGCACTTACCAAACGTGGTTGTAAAATATAAAGTTGAAGGGTAGAAAGTCCTTGTGTTAAAATGAGAACATTTTTCTCATCTAAACTTCTGAATGCAATTGCACTTGCACAGATCTGACTCACTGTGTAGAGTTTGATAGTCTCTCAGTTTCTCCCTGACACGGTCATCACATACATTGCTTCTATTGTTGAAACAGTATTTCTTCTTATAGACATAGAAATTAGAATACAGCAAATCAGAAAAACCAGTTACATTGGTGTTCAGTTCAACCTCGGAAATTTGAGGATATTTCTTCTCGGTCTGTGGAACTGGCATCAGCCATGCTTGACAGTTACCTTAACTCCAGAGTCACGGGGACTGGTGTGCTTTACACTGCTGGTGTGAAGTACTTGGTTCCAGAAAGAAGGTACAAATATTAATGCTTTTATTTCCTAGTCCTTGATTGAATCTTTACCCCCAGCCCAGGCTCCAAGCCATGGATCGACAGTATTGAATACAGTGGAAGTTCTATGACAAATTTCTCTCTCCCTCCCTCCCTCCCTCCCTCCCTTTCTCTCTCTCTCTCTCTCTCTCTCTCTCTCTCTCTC